CATGAGGTAGATGATCGCATCATCCACTGCGATGCCTGGCTGATAGGCGAACTGCAGTGGGTCCATTGATGAGCTCACCAGGGGGCGCAGATGGTGAAGGACCAACCTCTCCAAGGTCTTCATCAGGTGTAATGTCAACTCTTCATATCTCAATAATATGCCAAAACATTTCACTAAATGAACAAATATTTCATGAAACGATCACAATCGATGGGACTCCAGCGCCCCCTTCAGGAACAGATGGGTGACATCACTCAGGCGACATCCATTAATATTTAAAGTCTTAGCGTTGATCTATATTGTGATCGTGATGTCACCTGTTTGTTGGTGCCAAGCGGCAACTTCTTGTGTTGAATAATGAAGACAATACAGAAGTCCAGTTCCTCAAATGTCCACTCGAGCTTCAGAGGTCCATTTGACACCATTTCAAAGTGTCCATGTTTTATGCATTTTTTACAAACTGGTTAAAAAAAAACAATCTGACCTCAGATTTTTATTGTTGTAATCTGCAGGAGGGTGAGTTTTACATTTAGATATATGAAGGTTAGGACCGCCATCGAAGGCTTCAAATCGCCGCTTCAGAAACCAACAGGTGATGCAACTGAGACTACGTCCATACAGTCTATGGGGTGGGGTTGGACTGCTGTTTTGAAGCCTCGAGTTCGGCATTAAAGATGTCACCTTTTGGTTGTTATGGAGACGGATTGATCATATTGTCACACATACTGTAGGCAGTCGTTGACTTTAACCTAACTTTTTGATCAGTCTAAAGACAGACAAAGAGGCGGAGCTTAGGTGGGACTTATGCTGCATTCAAGCGGTGTCGGTCACATCGGGAAAACAAGTTTCCAACATTTAACAAATATTTCCTAATTTTACCGGACTTTTGGGAATTGATTAAGACATTTTCAATTGCTCATTATTGAGAATTGTGTAAATAAACCGATTGAGGTATCCAAACTGAAACAACAGTGGACTCGAGCTGAGGACGCGTCTGAAATATCTTTCACATTCATCCCTCAGTGACTTTTTTTAGATAATACTCAGTTTGTTCAAATGGTCACTTCAGCCACTGTGGCACCTTTCTCCTCTGAGAGGTGCTCAAAGTGAAGAAAACCAGAGGAGGAGTGCCTCTTGAAAAATCACATTCCTGTTTCTGTCAATGGTCCGTCTGTTCAGAGAGACGACAGTGTTGATTTCTTGGTTTTCACAGAACACACACACACACACTCACATGTTCTCTCAACACTTACGACGGCCTTGAAAACACAACACACACTTTATTCTCTGTGGTTCCTCCGGGCTTTGAGAACTGAAAAGAGTGTGGGTAGGATGTCTCACAGTGTGGTTTACTAATCAGACTGTTACTCAACTCACTGCAGCAGGAAATATCTCAACATCTTTAAGGATGGCAAACACCCTGCTCATGTTCTGTTCTCACTCTTCACCATCTAACACACTGACTCACATAGTAATCATATAGTAAGGTCACTTTATCATCTCACTCGCTACACATCTCACTGATTGAACCTTTAAAGTGACAACAAAAGACACAAAATGAGAAAAAAGACCCACTGAGAAATCTACGCGTTTTAATCTGTTGCTCCTTTGTAAAGAGGGGTGTGGTCTCCTTCCAGGTCTTTGTTACAGCATCATAGTCAACATGTTTATTTTGAAGGTGAATTTAAGTCAATGTGTTCTCATGTTACAGTAACTGTGGCAAGCTTGATTCAGCTGCTGCTCAATAATTATAGACTCTTGAGCACATTTTTCCCTGACTTCAGTCTTGCAGGCATTTTCCCTCTCCCACACGCTGCGTGTATGCAAAAAGCTCTGCATGCTCAGGTGTGATGTTATGAAAACCAGAGGTCTGGATGAGGTGAGACTGTGACCGCTGCTGCAGAAATTACAAAAACACCAGGTATATGAAGGTAAAAATCTCCTGTGAGGACAAAGTGAGGGCACAAAGAGTCTGACTCTGACACTGAGATCTGTGCAGCCACACCCTTCTCTGTTCAGATGACGCTGCAAAATAAACTGCTGGCTTTAAAAGCAATTATTTCAAACATCCTGCAGCGTGCAGCTGATTCTAACACGGCTGCTGCTCTGACTTTAATAAGTGAGGAAAAATACTGATGACAGGGAGGGTTGTTGGAGGTTACTGATGTCAGAATGATAATTTATGACGCTGTTATTGTTTGTTTACTCTCCTTGGTGCACATTTACAAAAACAATGCCACATTTTGCCTGTAAACTCGATTAAATTGTTAAGTCTCAGGACTCAATTTAAGGTGTTTGCTTCCATGTTAGGTCATCCACAAACTCTCACATGAGCCATCAGGAAAGGACAGACACTGTAACTGTCAGTGATCCTAAAGGCTAAAAATAAAACAATTTTCTTGACTTAAAGTGTGCTCTTTTGTGTTGTAAAATATATTTTAAAAATTAAGGTTTGACTTATTCTACAGCCAGACAAGGTTTAGTGTAAATACAATAAAAAAACAACCCGCAAGTTACTCTTTAAAGAGGACATATTCTCCCCCTTCTCCACCTTTTCAAACAGTCCCCTGCAGTCTAAATGAAACATCTGTGCTGTGCTTTGGTCAAATGTAACATGAATCAAGCACCAGAGGAGGTTTGTGACCCTGTATAAACCAGCTCTCTCAGAACGCTCCGTTTTGGTGTGTGTGTCTCTTTAAATCCAATGAGCCCCCCCTGAGTTTTCCCAGTAGACATCACTCCTCTGTAGAGAGAATAAAAATGGCCGACCTGCTCAAAAGTTTTGTTCAAGGCTGGGGTGGAGTCCATGGTGGAGATACCAGGGGAGGGGAGGGGATTTTTTTTTTACCAGAATCCCACTGTGACATCACAAGGAGAGCACATTATTAACGGAGCATTTTTCTCTGTGTTGTAAGACTTATGCAGACCACAAACAAAGGACTGGATGGGTTTATTTCACATTTTGTGAGTCAGTAGACACTCAGGTTACCAAATATATGTTCAAAAACACTGTAGAAGTGGACTTTTCATAATATGTCTCCTGTCGCATTTGCAGTTGCAATAAAAGCTCTAAAAATGACAACAGTCTCTTTCTTGTGTTATCTTGATGAAAATGATTACAACAATTAGTTCTGACCAAGCAATCTGATTGGACAGGAGGCATCACTGGGACTTTTCACATGATGATGTATCCCTCCTCAGCATACAGGAGCTCTGAATACTTTTAAAGAACATTTCCAGCTGACAGAGTTTTCTGTATTCATCATGTGAAACCTCAGACAGACTCTGACGTCACTGGTTTCATGATCACGTTCAAGTAAAGGTTCATACTACAGAGGAGCTGCTCTGTGGTAACCATGGACACCAACAGGAGAATAGAATGTCCGGGTTGCTTAGCAACAGCCTAGTTTCACATCAACTGTGGAACTAGTTCAAAAATTGAGTTAAAAAATAATGTGTCGTTGATTTTGTTGTATTTCCTGTTTCTCTGACTGTTGTATTAAAGTAATATGGCACTGGAGGAGGAGCTGTTGTTCTGGATATCAGCACTGATGTGATTATCTTCAGACTGAATCACTGGAGGGCTGATATTCAGGACAACATCTCCACCTCCAGTGTGATGTTTCTTATTTACAACCAAGTTAATCTGCTCAGTGTGTGTTTGTGTACACGCTGCAAGGCCATCCTGGTTGAGAGATCTCTGTGGCAGCTACTTAAAGGTCAAAGGATATCCTGCTTCCTGGTCTAAATCTGAATAGGACCGTTATTTACAAAATGAAAATGGTGCTGTGTTGAAGAAGACTTGAAGCTAGAGATTGAGACCATAAACTTATTAATAAATGTGAGGGAATAGATCAAGAGTGAAGTAGACTCATTTTCTCAAAGATTTCTCTCCAGCCAGTCTTACTCTGGCAATGATTGGAGTCGCCCTCTGCTGGATATGAGAAGTAGCCTCATGCAAGTTGGCTTCAATAATTGAACCAAGAGGCAACGTCTTCTTTTTTGACTGTGCATGAGTTAGAATACTGGTTTGTCTCCCCTCTCTGGAAGGTCTTGGTTGTCTTGGCTTTCTCTCTCCATGTTCTATTGTTTACAGTGAGAAGGCAGACTCAGAGGGCAGAACAAACACCTAGCTGTGGGAGTGTCACCCACCTGGGGGAGGGGCAACTGCCCTTTGTGATGTCATGAAGGGGACATCTCCAAACAGCCTGTTTAAGCACACATTTTCTGAAAAGTGGAGCAGGCAGAGACGGAGAGGATGGACTTTTCTCATCATTGGGGGGGTTTGTAGACAGACTAGAGACACATTAGTGTTAGAGAAACATGGAGAAGAGGGTTGTGTATAATATCTAAGTAAGTGTTGCTACTTAACCAAATCGTCCTCACAAACATAAACATTTAGACAAACAACATTGCGGACTAAAAAGCCTTCTTTTGCACAAACATCAATATTCAACACATGAGAAATTCAGGTTTTAGATTTCACCACATTGTGATTACATCAAAGAAAAATCATTGTTCATTTTCATCTTCTAATAAATCAAAACATTTCACAAAGGCAGTAAACGGTCCCATGTGTTCGAACAGTTCCTGTTTTCATTTTCTTATAGTTCACTTTTCTAAAGGTTAGGTACCCCGTGTGTCATATTTGGTCTGTTAGTCTCCTTCCAAAATATTGCAAAGGATCTTTTGGCAAGTAGAAGACATATTTGTCTGCTAACCTTTAGTGAACATATGATATAATCCTTTGGAGTACACAATATTTAATTTTCATATTTTTGTTTTTATTTGACTGACGACCATGTCTGCTCTCTCTGAAAAGCAGAAGCTATAAAAAAAACACATACTGTACTACCATAACCCCCTGTGTATGTAACATTTAGTTTCGTTTACTTTGAGAACAACGTTCAAATGTTCAAATTTGAAGCGCAAATTCACAGTTTTAATTGAACCACCCTGGGATGTCATTTGTCCGACGTGCTTGAACGCAACACCAGAATGGAATGACGTGTCAAGAAAGTGCCGGAAGCTTTCAGTTGGTCCAAAATGGCTTACCAGACTCTACAACAGGAGTACCTACAGATTCCCATCGTTACCAGGGCTTATACAACCGCGTGTGTCCTCACAACAGCTGCTGTGGTGAGATGTGTTCATGTTTTATCCGTGTTGTGTCGGGGCGGAGCGTGATGCCTTTAAATCGAGCTAACGTAGCGTCGTTTGTGTGGTGCTAGCGTCGATGGTTTAGCTGTAGCTCCTGTTAGAGACGTGTCTGAAGCTGGGCGTCCAGTGAGGAGCAAAACTCACAATGTAAGGTTATTAAAGAGCTAAAAGAGGAGGTAACTGTGGCAGGAGCTTCATTTAAAATGTATTTACTGAACCACAACCTGTTTGTACCTCTTAAAATGTAAACTAGCACTTTAATCATTTAACTACACACAGAACCAAACATATATAATAAATGTAAACACTCAGACTGCAGCTTTCTGTGTCTGTAATAACATTCAAGTGATTTGTCTTCAGCTTTACAAATACTTACAGATTTATAATTTGACATAATGAATAAAAGCTGCAAATCTTCACTGAAAAAACATGAAATGATTGAGATTTTGGCTGGAAAATAAAATCTAGGCAATAAAAAGATGCCAACCGGTTTTCTGTTCTTCCACTTTTTTTTATGACTTTGCTCTGCATGAATGTCAACACTGACTTTATGTTGTTATATTTGTTGTATGAGAGTGTTGTGACTGTGAAGATGTTCCTCATGGTGTTGTTGATGACAGCTGATTGGCTGCAGACAGAATCATAGCTGTCCTCTTGTGATTGGTGCTCACAGGATGTGTGTTTATAACAGGTGTATTCAGCGGTGTAGTGGAGCCTGAAGATGTGGGGATGCTCTTAATTTGTACTAGAGATGGGACAGATCTGATCTCATACCGGTATCGGGTCCGATTACGTTATTTACATATCGGATGTCTGACTGACAGCCGATCCACGTCACCGATTGAGAAAGATGGTTGGACACTTTAATCATTCTCAGCTCGTACAGTCTCTCTTTGAAGACGTTCAGAAGTGTCCTCAAATCGTCTCCATGACAACGTTCAGACTGAACTTTAAGTTGCGCCCACGAATCTCCATGATGATACTCAACTTAACTTTTATCCTCATGTATATTTGTCAGAGCTCGATTATTCTGTGACCGTTTTAAAAACGTTCTATGGTTGTTCTTTTTTCATCATTAACGTGATGTTTGTTTTGTTTCCTCTCACAGCAACTCGAGATCATCACACCTTTTCAGCTTTACTTCAATCCAGATTTGATTCTAAGGAATTACCAGGTGAGCAATCGCAAATGAACTTGAATCGTTTTTTTTTCTCGTCTTCTGACTATTCAAAGTGTTTTTACACCGCAGGTCACACCTACACATTCACACACTGATGGTAGAGGCTGCTGTGTAAAGAGAACTAATACATTCATACTTAACCAATAAAGCAGAGGGAGCAACTTGGGGTTAAGTGTCTTACTCAATGACACATCGGACAGTTAGCTGCAGGAGCTGGGGATTAAACCTCCGACCTTCTGGTTGAGAGACAACCGACTCTACCACTGAGCCACGGCTCGTCTTCATCCTTATTCTCAGGCCACAACGCGTGCCTCCACACGTCTAAATATCAGCTTCCACACAAAGTCACAAATCCAAGCGAGGCACCAAAGTAGTCTCGTTCATGAGCAGTTCTGGACGGGCTGCACCTGCAGGCTTCTTAAGGCTGTGAGGACCAGGATGCTCTCCTCTGATTGGTCGCTCAGTTTCAGCAGCATGCACACCTATAAGACTTCTCAGGTGACGACTCTGCAACAAGTGGACGGTGTCAGCCATCCATCCAGGGGAATGCACCGCACAGATTCCGATACACACACACACACACTCACACTCACACTCACACACACACACTCACACTCACAGGAGAAAAACAGAGACATTTAAACACACCGAGGAGGCACATCTGCAGCCGTAACATTTATATTATTAGCTACACATTTAAGAAACATGTTGTCGTTATTTTTTTACCATGAAAACTTGTGACTGAATGTGAAATTCCCTCTTAAATTATTACATTTAAAATTATAGATCCAGTCAATTTTCATTGAAAAAAGGTTTTTGTAGATTTTCAGCATTTTTTAAAATCATGATTAAATCAAATCAAACTTTTTCCTTCCCATCTTTGTCGTCTTTGTGTATTTTGTTTCTGCTGAACCTTTCATGTTTTTTTCTGTCTCTTTCTGCAGGTATGGAGACTTATAACCAACTTCCTGTTTTTTGGTCCAGTTGGCTTCAACTTCCTTTTCAATATGATTTTTTTGTATCCTTCTCAGTTCTGCGTTTCCCTTCATTGAACAGATTTGAATACTTTCTGTTTCACATGGGAGGCTGTCTGTGTTCTCAGAGATCACATGATGAAAGATGTTTTCAGTACGGGCTGATAGATCGTCTGAAACGCACGACCTCTCAAAGCTCTGACTCAGTGAGGTTCAGTGTGACAGCTCTACACTGGAATGTTTTCAAAAGGAGTTCAAATTGTTTTAAATCTGGTTTCTGTTTCTGTTTGTCACAAGTGATGAAACCAACTGTGACTTCAAAGAGAGGAGATTCAACACGTGACGTGAGGCGAGCGAGCGTCAGCGACAAAATCAGCTTCATTCTATTGTTTCCTGTTTGAGTTTCATTACAACCCACAAACGACGCTGAGAGACGCGCTGCGCTGTTTTAACCCCGACGCCCCGTTTCTGTTTTCATCTCTGTCACTCGAGTCGAAGGACGAGAAGGGAGGGCGCTCAACACTCGCTCGACACTCGCTGACACTCGCTGTCCTCACTCAGCAGAGCTCGTTGGCGTGTTGTACAAAGTGAAGATAACGGTGCATTATTAAATCAACATCCGGGTTGACCTTTGACCTGTGTCAACAAAACCAGAGAAAAACTTTGTTTGGCTCACCTCAAGACGTTTATTGACGAGCATCAGTGTTGAGATTTGAGTCAACAGCTCGTCAACACAAAACACCACACTTCAGTTTGTCCACCTTCAAAATAAAAGCACCACACTTCAGTTTGCCCACCTTCAAAATTAAAGCACCTCACTTCAGTTTGTCCACCTTCAAAATAAAAGCACCACACTTCAGTTTGTCCACCTTCAAAATAAAAGCACCTCACTTCAGTTTGTCCACCTTCAAAATAAAAGCACCAGATGTTATAATGCTTACAAGAGGTAACTGAAATTCACAGAGCAAAGATGTAAACATTTAACAGATACAGTGAGCTGTCAGTACGCGGTGTTATGATGGAGTTAGAGCCTTGATCATTTGATGATTTCTTCGTCTGTTTCAGTTAGAATAAGACGACCGTCTATCTATTTCAAATATTGGCGATAATGAAAGTACTCGGAAGGAGTTTTCTGATGCGTGGTTCAAAATGTTCAACATGGAAGAAGGTCTTCTTTTGTGTGAGTGTAAATTATGACTTCAATCATTGGGGAACAGTGCCTAGTGGTTATGTTGCACGCCCCATGTACAGAGGCTGTAGTCCTCATCGCCTCTGCCGTGGGTTTGAATCCGACCTCTGCCCTTTGCTGCACATCATCCCTCGAGCTCTCTTTAGCTGTCCTACCTAATAAAGACAAACAGTCTCTTACACAATGTGTTATAATGATGATGATGAAGACATAAATGTGTGTGTAGATTTCTTAACGTCCTGTTTTCAGGTACAGATACTGTCGTATGCTCGAGGAAGGCTCTTTCAGGGGTCGAACGGCTGACTTCGTCTTCATGTTCCTCTTTGGTGGGCTGCTGATGACCGTATCCTTTGTGAAATTGTTGCTTTAAGTGTTTGTTGTCTTGTAAGAATCTCCCTCACTGCAACTTCTAACTCCTTTAATGTGTGCACATAAACACGCTGCACATAAAAAGCGAAAGATTGAAATGAGAGTTTGCAGCTGTGTGCCTCGTCCAGGTGAAGTCAGAGGGAAAGTTTTGGTTGTTCTGCAAGCTGCATGTGTGAACGCAAAGAGCCACTGGTCGTCTACCACTCCTGTCTGACAGGGCCAGTCTCCAGCTGTGAGGTGTGAACATCCAGATCAGGAGGATTTCAGAGGCAGTCCTCCTGAAGTTCTGGGAGGAGACCCCGGGTAGACCCAGAATGATTTTGAGGGAATATACATCCCTTCTGGCCTGGGATCGCCTCGGGTTGCTCCAGGATCTGGGTAGAGGGAAGAGATAGACTAAATGAAACTTGCAGAAACTTCAACTTAATGCTGTGAGGTCATTGGATCGAAAGGAACAAGTTGATTGATTAATTTCTGTCCCTTAACGTGCATTTAAAAAGATAACGTGTCTCTGCTTGGTTTGTAAACGATGTAATAAAAAAAACAGAAGTGTTGTAAGATTCACAAAAAGACAACTCGTGTAACTTCCCTCCTACATCAGAAGTTCTCAGACTGAAGCAGGTTTGAGATGAGCGAGGCTCAGTCTGTTTGTGTTAAATATCTCTGGAGTTCGTTTCTTTGACATGGTTGAAGATATTTGGCACGTTTGTGAGTCTGGTGTTCCTGGGTCAGGCCTTCACCATCATGCTCGTGTACGTGTGGAGTCGCAGAAACCCGAACGTGCGCATGAACTTCTTCGGCCTGCTGAACTTCCAGGCTCCCTTCCTGCCCTGGGTGCTGATGGGATTCTCTCTGCTGCTGGGGAACTCCATCATCGTGGATCTTTTAGGTATTCAGTGTTTTTGTGTTTGATTGCACAGCCGTTACGTCAACTTGAAAAGCACTTTTAAAGAATCTGACCTTTCTTTAGGTATTGCTGTCGGTCACGTCTACTTCTTTCTGGAGGACGTTTTTCCAAACCAGCCAGGAGGTGGAAGGTGGCTGAAGACCCCGTCGATCATGTGAGTCTCAGATTACTTTTGATCAGTAAATCCGGATGAAAAGCCAAAACCTGCAACATGCAATGTTCAGCGTCCTTTCAGCCCGTTTATTGTCAAGAATTCAAAGTGAAATGTTTTTATATCGGGTTCACGTTGCTGCAGTCAGAGCTCCACAGCTGAGACAACCATCAGAGAAATCCTGGTCCTGATCAGACTGGGACCTGGTACTGATCCTAGCTAACAGTTCATCAAACTGGGACCTGGTACTGATCCTAGCTAACAGGTCATCAAACTGGGACCTGGTACTGATCCTAGCTAACAGGTCATCAAACTGGGACCTGGTACTGATCCTAGCTAACAGGTCATCAAACTGGGACCTGGTACTGATCCTAGCTAACAGGTCATCAAACTGGGACCTGGTACTGATCCTAGCTAACAGGTCATCAAACTGGGACCTGGTACTGATCCTAGCTAACAGGTCATCAAACTGGGACCTGGTACTGATCCTAGCTAACAGGTCATGTTAGCTCGGATCAGGCCAGACGTATCAGGAAGGAAACACTTTTGCATGTTTCTCTAAATCAACGCTAATAAACTCAAATGATCCCGTCGTTAATTTGCTAATCTTTTTATTTTCTGTCTCCTGCAGAAAGATGCTGTTTGATACTCCGGAGGAAGACGCAAACTACAACCCCCTCCCTGAGGAGCGCCCGGGCGGCTTCGCCTGGGGGGAGGGACAGCGCCTTGGAGGTTAAAACTTCCCCCTCATCGAACTCTTCCATGGACACTCCCTCTGAGACATGAAGGGGACAAACATGGTCTCTGTTTTTGACGTGTTTGTTTAGTTCTGGATGAAGAACGCCAAACAACCTGAACTGGTTTGGAGAGAACCGTCTGTTGTCTTTGTATTCGGGCTTAAATCATCCTCAGAAGCTGTTCTTTACGCCAGATCGTCGCTCTAAGACTTTTTGAGAGAAACTTTTGGGTGGAGCTGTGGACGGGGAGGCCTTCAGGCTTCGGGTGATGTTTGACTTCATCTCAGAAAAAAAAAGAGAGCTAAAACAACTGTCTTGAAAAAGAGAGAAAAAAAAGTGACAGAAGTAAAATATTATCAAACGAATTTATTCAGATGGCAAACGCGTTTTCTTTTTTCATTTCCCTTTTTTTAAGAAATAAATGTGTGTGTGGCAAAAGATGCTTTGGTTTCATCTGTTAAACCGTAGTAAGTAATATCGTTTGAAACCAAAGATGTCTCTAAAATTAGAAGACATGATTCAAGACTAAAAACTAAGTCCAGAAGAAAGGATCATGAGTCTCGTAGCATCAAAATGTAACGACTGTTTTTCATTTCTTTATCTAGTGTGAGTTGAGTATTCACAGTTGTATTCCTTCTTTTGATTGACTTGATACAAACAGCCTTAAATCAGACCTGTAGACGATACCTTTGTGTTAATTTAATAGATTTAGCACTTTTTTTATTTGTATGTTACCTGATGATCCTGGTTGCCTTTTCAGCAGCATGTGTGGAGGACAGTTTGCTCGTGTGTGTGTGTGTGTGTGTTGCTTTTAAGAACTGACAGAAGATGAAGTAACAAGTGTCAGAGTGGGATTAAGAAGCTTTTGTCAATCCTTGCTAACACTGGATAACAACAACATCCTTGAGTTTCTAATAACCTGTGAATCTAAATATTGCTGTGCAGGCTGCGATGAGATTTGGACTGTAATGAAATCATCATTTTAAATCACAGCTTGATTGTGTTATTCTGTTTTATTTAAGGAAAGCAGTTTGATTCACAACACATTGTATGCCAAGATGCTGTAATATTTATATTCATACATATATTTTTAAGGGTTAAGGTTAATATAATTTGACTCAATATTAATTTGAATTAATTTATCTAATTATTTTGAGAAGCTAAATTCTTAATCGTTATTATGAGATCCACTAATATATACAATTATAGAGTCTGTTTTTATTATTAAATTGGCGGCAATTTTGCCCATAAAAAGACGAGTTACATGTCATCTCACATTTGATCACTAGGGGGCGATAATGGACTTTGAATTTCCTCTTCTACCTTGGACCGAACAATGAATAAGCGCTGCGTGGCGTTTATCTTATCGGAGAGAAAGTCTTCACAAAATAATTACAATAGCTACGTCGTGAAAAATGTTAAGTTAACACACTTGGTTAATTGATAGTCTTCATAGCAGTTTTTTTTTACGTATTTATCTCCAATTCGTTTGAAACTGTTGGGAAAGTTAGCTTATTGGTAGCGTTTTTAATGCACTCGAGTAGACGCTTTGATTTCCCAGCTTTACCGTGAGCCTGAACGTATCTGAAGAAAAGGAGGCTCATTAGTTAGCCTGTTAGCAACTGCGCAAGGATGCAACTGGCTCTAAGTAAAACATTTGGCCAGAAGCCGGTTAAATTCCAGCTAGAACAGGATGGAGACTTTTACATGGTCGGCTCGGAGGTATGTGACTGTCCATTCATTGATTATTTTAAACGATGCTTACTTAGCTCCCTCGTGTTAGCCTCAGGTGATGCTAGTTAAAGCTAGCACGCTAACTAGCCTCATTGATGGCTTCGTAAACAAAGACAAACATTACAACGAAAAGAAGGAGAGCGGAGTCAAAGGGAAACAACAGGAAAGAAAAGGGGAAATAACATTATTTTTTTAGTTCCAGTCCTGGCTAAATGATAGTTGGAAGATTTTCTCTTTTTGCTGAAATGTTAAATAAACTTCTCACTTCAGCAGAGACATGTATGTGTGTGTGTGTGTATATATATATATATATATATATATGTGTATATGTGTATCAATCTGAGCTGCAGCTTTGAGATGAAAAAGAGTCTACTACTGAGTTTCTGTCAATTTTAATAAAACTAAACCAGATGACGAAAGGGAAAAAACATAGTTAGCAGTCACAGTCACTTTTACACAGTGTTGTAAAACATAATAAAGAGTGTGTTGTGAGTGATGGTCCAGCTCAGTCAGTGAGTTTGAATTCTCTACAAGATGTTTCTAAATATCTATTAAAGATAATAAACTACAGATACATTCAATAAAAAATGGAAATTGATCAGCCACAAGTAGCAGAAAATTATCTTTATGATTGTTATAGATCTGCATGGTGCATTCCTGCTTGATATTAGTTCAGTTTATTTGCATATTGTTGAAAGAAGAGTCAAACATGTGCAGGTGAGAGCTTATCTCAAGACCTCACTTCAAGAAAGTTGAATTTGACAGACGCAAAATGTATTTAGCGTTTAGACATTTGGAAGAAATGTCACACAGAGAAATAAACATGAAAAAAAAGGTCAGAGAGACATTGGTGCGTTTGTTAAAAACCTTTTATTGAAAGTGAAGACGTCATTCTGTGAGACAAACAAAGAGCCTCTTTTCAAAAAGAGACCTGGCCAAGACGACTCAGAATTACAGATACAAGAGAGACAAAGTGCAGTTTACAAAACAAATTTTACATTGAAAAAGAAAGACCATCTGGGAGTCCAGCAGTCGAGCGTTAAGCATCTACATCCTGTACAATGTGTTTCCTTTAAACCTTTAAGACACCAGCTCCTTGAGTTTGAAGTCGTTCTGCAGCAGATTTCAGGCTGAGAGTGCAGAATGTCAAAAATCCCTTTTCCCAATTTCTGTTTTTAATTAAAAGTGATGACATCGTTCTGTCAGACAAACTATTAAACGTTTCTCAGGAGCTACAAATGTCGGATTTAGGTGGAGTGTGACAATTGAAATCCTGCACATCTTTGTAGAATTGAAGGTTTTGTTTCTTTGTTGTCGTTTTAGTTTTGTTTCACTCAATCATCTTCTTTCTGCTCTGCAGGTTGGTAACTATCTGCGTATGTTCAGAGGCTCTCTGTATAAAAGATATCCATCTTTATGGAGGAGGTTAGCATCGGTGGAGGAGAGGAAGAAGATTGTAGCTTCGTCACACGGTGAGCTCAGTTTCTTTGTGTTTTTCTCTACTTAACATTTTGAAGACTCAGTTGAAAAATGTTTTATTTGAATTACTAGAACGGTCAGTGACTTCTCTCTACATGAATGTGTTAAATTGAGTAAATCCTTTAGTCTTTACATTTCTTAAAGGTCCAATCAGTGAGATGTGTAGTGAGTGAAATGATAAAGGTATCTTACTATCTGATCAGACATTAATGAAACATGCTATGTTGAAGTGCTGGCTTCTCTGACAACAATGCAGCAGCCAGTATGTCCTCCTTCTAACTTTAGATTCTGCTCCTGAATGATCTGGATTTGTTTGGACCAGAGAAGGTAGACGGTTTTAAGACACCCCCACACGGCCGTTTTGGATGCCCCTCGGTTTGCCAGATATGAGAGCAGTTATCAGGTCAACAGGTGTTGCAGCTATGGAAGCAGCAAGAGAAGTGGTTCAGATAGAAGTGATTGTACCCGACCTAAAAAGCCTCTGCATGTTTCTAATAAGCTCCACGAGCAGAAACGTGCTCAAACTAGGATCAATATTGGAGATGATTTTGAAAAATGGAGAGAGGTTAGAACACAGAAAGGTTTACAGACCGATGCAGAGCTGGATAAACACTGAAGCTTCAGTGTCCACCACATGGCAACCTGCATGAACATGGACTCTAGAGGGGGGGGACAGTTCTCTACAATGTTTAGAATTTGGACTGCAGTACCCATTTTAAACACTCGGGGTCAGAGTTACATCATGATCCTTAAGATTACCACAACAACTTCAAGTGAATCCAAGTCAGCTAAATGTTTTGAGCAGTAAAGGCCCAATGATTATATAGTGTTCCATTTAGAACTACGCAGTGTTTCTACCCACAATGCACTGCAGATGTACCACGGTTCAGAAGCTGACCTGTCTCTGTTTTGTTTTTCATCTGAAGCCACCAGTGTGACTCTGCTGAAGGCGTCTGAATGTGAAGAGATCTTTGAGGGCAACGATGAGAAGTACAAGGCGGTGTCCATCAGCACCGAGCCGCCAGCTTACCTCAGGTAACCTCGACTCAACAGCGTGTGTGCGTGTGTGTGTGTGCGTGTGTGAGAGACCGCCAGCTTCGGGCCAGACTTGATATTTGGATTACTGCTTTGACACAAATTGTTTTTTATCTTCTCTGCGCAGGGAGCAGAAAGCAAAGCGGAGCAGTCAGTGGGTTCCCACGCTGCCCAACAGCTCCCACCACCTCGACGCCGTGCCTTGTTCCACCACCATCAACCGCAACCGGATGGGACGCGACAAGAAGAGGACGTTTCCCCTGTGGTGAGAATGACACTTTGTTTGACATATAGAAGAAAAAAAAAGTGCAACATAATGTGTAACCTGCTAGAGGATTTTCACATTAGTCACGTTGTCCCCCCCGTCATCCGTCCACTCAGTTCAACATAGCACTGAGTTTGTGTGTTTTTGGTCGCTCAGCTTTGATGATCACGACCCGGCAGTGATCCACGAGAACGCAGCGCAGGTGGAGTCGCTGGTTCCCATTCGACTGGACATGGAGATAGATGGACAGAAACTGAGAGATGCTTTCACGTGGAACATGAACGGTAAATATAAAAGACATAAATCATCCAGAACAAACATCATCATCATCGTCGTCGTCAGTCAGATATTCAAACCTCCCCGATCTCCACTTTCAGAGAAGCTGATGACGCCAGAGATGTTTGCAGAGATCTTATGTGACGACCTAGACCTGAATCCTCTCGCCTTCGTCCCCGCCATCGCCTCAGCCATCCGTCAGCAGATCGAGTCGTACCCGACCGACAGCATCATGGAGGAGCAGGCGGACCAGAGAGTCATCATCAAGGTGGGGAGAAGCAGTTCCTCAGAGAAAAGAAAGGGGGAA